GATTGGTTATGATTGAACACACTTAAATTGAATGTCAATAAAACTAAGTTTGTGGTTATATTAAGGCGAATTTCTGAGAACAGTAAATATAAACAACGAAGCACTGGAAAAAGTTAATACATTCAAATACCTTAGAGTAAAGATCGATGATAAACTGAAAAAAAAAAATNATTGAACACACTTAAATTGAATGTCAATAAAACTAAGTTTGTGGTTATATTAAGGCGAATTTCTGAGAACAGTAAATATAAACAACGAAGCACTGGAAAAAGTTAATACATTCAAATACCTTAGAGTAAAGATCGATGATAAACTGAAAAAAAAATGGATTCTTTATTTTCAGTTAGACCTCTAGCAANTATACATTCAAATACCTTGGAGTAAAGATCGATGATAAACTGAAAAAAAAATGGATTCTTTATTTTCAGTTAGACCTCTAGCAATACGACAGACAGACAGACCAAAAGTCGATAAATTTTTGATTTGGATTCTGTTGCTTTAATAAGGAGGGGTGCTTATAATATAATAATAAAAAATAAGATAATAACTTAATTTTTCTTTAATATCTATAATGTACAGACATCGGGCTGTTACAATTTTATTATATGTATAGATTCGCCAAATTGAGCAAGCTCAATGCGTTTATATATGCATATACATATATATTCTGCAAGATTCCAATTGTTACTGTCTATGTATCACAATGTACATATTTACAATTTTTAGTTTAAGTTGCCTTCAACATTTATCCTATAATTATCTCCAATTAAATCGGCGATAAACTTTGCACCTACCAATTACGAAGCAGCCATAAAAATTATGCGAATAGACAAGAAAAACCAGTCGCTAGTGGCCAATAGGAAGCTGTTTCTATTGCTGCTACTTTGTTGCTTTGAATATCACTCGTACGCGGTATTTATGCTGACCACGGAAGTTCGAAAAGAAGATATAAATAAAAGAATGTAGTTTGTAGTAAATACACATGCACAACAGCTGGAAATTCTCTACGCCACACCTTTTTCCAACTAACGTCTAGCTAGAATTCCCCAATTGAAATTTTTTCGACGGCACTTAATGGAAACCCATAGCAATAAATGCTATTCCAGAGCCGAATAAGTGATTTCTTAACTAAAATCTGCTATACGAGAATTTAGATCGGTATTAGTGTAGAGGAACTTAACTCAGATGACCACTTCCGCTTCCCTGGCCCTAGATGTAAAATTTTGACTCGATTCTCATTGGTGTTCGTTGGTAAGGTTCATGCCAAGCGGAGTAGGCGGCATGCTTGTCGAAAAAGGCAACTAAAATTCACTGGTGCGAGGATGATGGGAAGAACACCTTCTAAAACCGACCACCCTAAAAAAGGGCTCATCCTGGAGGGGGGAGTGCCTTTGCCTCTTCCTTTTCCGCTTATAAGGGACATGAGCCGGGAAGCAGTTATCTGCTGACGGTATCCCAAATATTCTAAGGCGGCTACTCCTCATTAAATTTGCTCAGACCGCAGGCTAGTCTTATAGTGTCCTCCCACTTTACAGTTAGCAGACTAGTGCTATTCTGCTAATAGGATTTTTTTGCTCCAAGTTTGAGATTCATGGCCAAGGATGTGTTAAAAAAGCTTTGTTGTAGCATTTGCGTATTTTCCATACGACTCTATATGGCCCCCACCTTCGCGAAAGATGCCTGGTCTTGTGGAAAAGTGTGACAGTTGAAGTAGTATTGGTTTGGTTATTGAAATTAAATTTTCGAGTATACATTCGTATCTTGTTTTGTGAGCTTAACATTTTCAACGTGATCTCAAACCTCTTGGGTGCGGTAAATTGGTTTCGTTTCGGAGGAGGGGGTCAATGCGTTACATGCGGAGTTCATAGGGGCTTTCCCCACCGCTCTAATATCTACGTCCGGGCCTATGCACACGAAGAGAAGTTTTTTTTTTACTTAAAGTTGAATAAATGTTTTCTTGGTTGGGAAATAGTAAATAATTCATGAAATATTCAAATTTGGTTTAGGCACTCCGCACATTAAGCTCCTAATCATAGTAGTGTAATCGGTTCGGCATACTAAAGTATAAAGCTTTTATGCCGAACCCATGTATTTCAATGAAGCTCTGTACATTACGATTCAAAATCATGTTTTCGCTTAATCGTAAAGGCTTCATGAATCGAAGCGCCCAACATTGTAAGGCGCTTGGAGTTTTGAAATCGTCATTTGTTTACTTTTTGTGTTGGAAATAAAATTTGTTTGTCAATTCAATAGAAAATAATTGAAAATTAATGATTTCGTGCTAAAATTCGTGCAAATTGTATTAAACCACATGCATGTATGCAATATTTCGGGACAGAAATATTTGCGGAAGTGCGTGTTGCGAAAGAACGGCCAGAAAATTTGTTATGTGTAGAATGTGTTTATTAGCTGGTGCAGAGCGTACAAGTGTGCAGAAGTCGAGTCGTCATGCATTCGTTTCGGTATGATGAAACGATTACTCTACTTTGATTAGGCGCGTAATGTGCCGAGGGCCTTAGTCTTCACTAGATTAAAAAAAAATATTTTACTGAAAATACGAAAACGGGTTTCTTGTTTACAAACAACAACAAAACCTATTGAAGAAACCGGTAGAAAAAATATTATATATTTATTAAATTTAAGAAAATAACTTTACTCATGCTAAGAAAACAATTTGTTAATTCAGTTAAATTTTGAAAACAAAAACAAAAAGCAGGAAATACTTTCTTGAATGAAGTCAAAAGTTTCTTATTCTATTCTCTGAGAACGTGTGGCAGGCGCCTACAAACACCAGCCACGATTTCCACAGAAATTTGAATATAAATAAGAAAATGCTTTCTTAGAGGAAATCAGAAATTTCTTATTCTATTCTCTAAGAAACTTATACATTTGGCAAAATCATATGTATACATACGTAAGTATGTATATAAAGCGACTTCTGCCTTTGAGTTGCCAAAGCCAAAACTAAAACTCAGTTAATTGCTTTCCTGACAAAAGTCGGCAGTGGCGTCGCGTGAAGACTACCGCTTCTGGTTCTCAGATCGCAGGTTCGAATCCGCTTGCAGGTGGTTAGAGTAAGGTAAGTCAGTTATTTCAATTGAAATATTAACTTTAAATTACAAATTGTAAA